TCTTTTTCTCTAATTAGCATTGTATAGTATTCACATCTAGCTTGAATGTATATTAGTTTTTCACATTGCCAAGATGGCGTACTCAATGGGGATGGTACGTTTATGGAGGTTAACTCAAAAGTGATATTCTTTTTTGTTGAAATGAAAATCTATATATATATTAAAATATTTAGTTTTGATATAAAAAAAAAAGCACAGTATACGTAATATAATTTAATAATAAAGGTTTAATTTTAATAAACGAGAAAGAATTTCACTTAATTTTTTGTAAATACGGTATTTGAAAAAAAAAAGCATTTAGTTTATAATTATTTAATAGTGTACGCCATTTTAGTAAAAGAATGAGCTTGCTATACATTTTGCATATTCATTATTATTTTTGTAGGAACGAATTATAAGATAGAATTGAACTTAAAAAGGTAATGGTATACTAATCATATATAATCAATAACATACAGGCTTTCTTTTTATCTCAATTACATCATATGATTATTTATGAATATGATCAAACATAGGAATTATTCAGATTAAAAAATCAAAATTTATGCATCCTAAACTTCTTTCTAATCAAAAAACATCAATAAGCATGTATACATAGTGTGGAAAATTTCACTTAAATTTTTAAAATCATTGAATCATTAATAACAAGCCCCATTATAGACATATATATAAAAGATAATATAAAAAAATATATTTCGTTAAAGGGAAAAATTAATTTACAAGTTTTTTAACTCGTTGTTCACAATACGATGTACATAACCTCTACTTTTCTCAACAAATTTATATGTATTACATACATACATAAATGATATTCTTACATATTATTTCGAGAAATAACAGTTTAAAAACTATTAAAACAAGAATCTGTAACTATTCATACCTGAGATGCAATATTCGCTAATTGGTAATTATTATTTACACGCGTGCTACTAGTAGTATATTTGCTTTATTATAAATTCACCGCTATCACCTTTCGCAAGCCGTATCCTCAATGCTGAACGAGGAGATTTTGAATAGGATATGTAATAAAGCTTCACGATATTTGCTTTATTATCAATATCATTTTTCGTGAATCAATATCATTAATCATCTATTTTATATAAAATCTTGCAGAAATTTAAAAAAAATATAATTTTTATAAAATTTTCATTTGCATTACGAAATGTCATTTTATATTTTCATTATTCATATATAAAGTTCGTTCATTTCTTTTCTATGATAATTATTTTCAAAAAAATTAAAAAAAAAAAAAAAACGTGCTTTATGCATAATATATTTCAAAATCAAAAACCATCTTTATTCATTATATATTATAAATTAACATGGTTTAATAGAAAATGTATATAAAAAATTATAATATCTCACAATATTACACAATATTATGTATAAAATATACATTATTGTTTATCAAAATATCATATAATGGATTAGATATATATGAATGTTTCCAACAATTGTCCCGTGACGTGGTTTGAAATAAACAGGGGTTGTGAATCCACATGATAAAGAGGAAATTTTGTTGTTGCATTGCAGATTAGATATGTGCAGGAGGCAATACGCGAATGACGTGTGCAATAGAGGAACCGCAGGTACGTTTCTCGAATTCGAAAGAAACGAGATTGACGAGAGCCGAAAATTATTTGATTTATTATCTATATGCACTGCTCTTGCGAACGTTTATATTTCTACATTCTAAGATTTTTTTTTTTTTTTTTTGCTGCAACTCGGCGATTTAAGATATGGTTAAAAATACGATAAAGGAAGTCCTCGAGACTTTCACAACCAGGAATCTTTTGTGGTTTATACTGTTCGAGAGTTTAAAATGTAAATCATGTTCTTTTGAATTTTTCCAATATTATATAAATTTAAATAATTTATAACATTAGTAATAAAGCCTATGTCTAAAAATTAAAAATTAAATTCTTTAGAAATCTTTCAATAAATTCTAAAGTAACATCTTTCAAGAAGTGAAATTTAATATGAGCTTGATTTTTATTTTATCAAATAATATACAAAGAAAAAAATATTAAAATTATTAAAAAGTGATTTATTATTAAAAATTTTTAATTTTTCACTATTTGTTTTATACTAAATTAAATATTGAATTATTTTAAAAGTATTTTAATTTACTTCTATTTGAATTTGCTTTTAAAAATTAAATTTAATTGTAAAGTATTTTACAAAAATCTCGAATGGTATAATATTCTAATCATGTTTATGTTGCTTTGTTCTATTCTGTTTGTTTTCACCTTCTAATAGCTTGAAAACTTCTTTACACTATGTTTGAATTTAGATTGTAAAGAGAAAAATGGCGGGTCAGAAAAATGGCAATTGCAGCTTCCTTCTGAGCTGAACGTGAAACATTCTATCGCGGCTTACCACGCGTATTTTCTTGTTTCTGAATTTCACTTTTCTTAGTCTGGGATACACGTTTGCCTTTCTCTCCTTCACTCCTTCTATCACTCTTTTTTTCACTTTCCTGATTCTTACTGTGAATGTATATATATATATATACACAAGCAAAAATGAAAGTGGTTCTATACTTGGTCTAAAAAAGCTAAAAAAAGGAAAAAATTTTATTTGAAAGTTTTTTTTTTTTAATTCTTTTCTTCTATTCGTTCATTCTGCACAGTGGCTACGGTTTCTTAGTTGTGTATATTTGTTTGCATACACATAAATCGTACACGACCTTGGCATTTATACAATCTATCATTTGCAATACACTTTACCACAGAATTTTTTCAAATTAATCGTTCAATCCTAATGGTATTTCATTAATCTAAGAATAATTTAAGAAAATTATCATCCTTATCACTTCCATGTTCACTGTAACGTTCCTGAATCACTCACACTCACGCCCTCTTTTTGTCTCTTCGGGCTGCATTACTGTCAAGGACTGATTGATCGGTAAGTTTCAAATCGAAGCGACCGAGAATTTTAAAATGAAAGATAAATCGAATAAATAATATCGTAGAAATTAATATATTTTATTTTTTTTTCAATATTAGAAATCCTTCTAGAGGAAGAATAATCAATTTTTGAATCAATCTTCATAGCAGAAAAAATTTTGATTTATTTCGAAAGCCTTGGTTAATCGATTGACGTTAATTAACAAATGCATGTTTGCTTATTAATTAATTAAAAGCTTTTCTAATTAAACAAATATTTATTATTAGTTAATTAGATTAATATTGGTATCAAATATTCGTTAAAATTTCGTAACTAATAATAATATCGATAATGTCTTACCTTCTTAAAGAACGTGTCTTTGTTTTTGAGAATAGAAAAAGAACAGCAAAATCATTTCACAATTCAAGTTTAGTTCATATTGCCAATTTAGTTGCAATATGGTCAGTTGCAGTACTTTCGAATTGAGGTTATATACCTATTAGCGATCAAGTCGTGATTCTGTTACGATATATAACTTAGATTATCACGATACAATCATTGTTTCGACACAGTGTATTCATAAACGAATTTTAGTTTCCTTTCACAGCACGATCACGATTCCAGTACGATTTATACAAATTTTCAACCACTAATTCAATCTAGTTTCAATAATAATTCGAAATACGTAGTTACGTATTCTTTTAAAGATTCACGTGACAATACTAAACGTTTTGTAATAGTTACATATATTATACTCTAAATACATACGATTGTTTGCAATATACAAAATTTTCTATATTAAAATCATAATTCAAATTTGATTTTTATTATTCTATTCAATTAAACTATTATTATTAATAATATTATTAATTCACTGTTAAGAATATTTTAATTAATAACTCAATAAATTTTATGATAGATCGTGTTATAAAATATTTTTTTATTTCACATTCTCAAAATTAAAAACATGTTTGCTCTAGCATTAACTGAATTCGCTAAATGTGCAGCTTTTTATTAGTTTAAATAACAATTTAGTAACGAATTAATATTTTTACATATTATTCGCAAAGTTGAAAAACATTCAAATTGATCTTATGTTTTTATTCAGGATTTGCGTACGTGGGTGGAGCTTGTGTCGTAAATAAACGTCTCGAAAAAGTGAATTCGGTTGCTATCATCGAAGATACTGGCGGATTTAGCGGAATTATTGTCGCTGCCCACGAAGTCGGTCATTTGTAAGTCTATTGTTATTGACATTTTTGACACTTTTATCAAAACTTATGAAAATCTTATTATAAAATTGATTTAATTTTTTAAAATTAATTATTTTTTTATAAAAATTGCCATTATTTAAAAAAAATTCTTTATTCAAAATTATTCAAATTTAAAATTAAGTAAAAATGAAAATTATTAATTTTTCCAATTAATCAAAGTTTGTGTTAATATTAATTTTTCGTTGATATATTTAAGGCAACAATAATTTTGCAAAAAATAGTATCGATTTGCTTTAAAAATGTTTAAATTGAAAATAAGATTATATTGAAATATCAAATATTGTAGACTGGGTGCAGTTCACGATGGCTCACCACCGCCTAGTTATCTTGGAGGACCAGGAGCCGAGAAATGTCGTTGGGAAGATGGCTACATTATGAGTGATCTCAGACACACTGAGAAAGGTTTTAAATGGTCCCATTGTAGTGTGTCGTCATTTCATCATTTCTTAAAGTATGGTTCATTCATTATAATTTATGAATTTTTTTTGTGAAAAAAATTTTCCTATTAAGTTATATATTAAATTTATAAACAAAAAAAAAATTAAAGATCTTCAATAATCATGTGTAAATTACAATAATACTATACAATAATTTGATTTTATTTATAATATATTTTTATATCTGAAATATATAATTATGAAATGAAATAATTTCAACATTTTTATTTCAGTGGTGATACAGCCACCTGTTTATACAACGCACCTCACGAAGACGAAGCTCTTCCTAGAGTTTTACCTGGGAAACTTCTTTCCTTGGATGCACAATGTCGAAAAGATCGAGGAACGAGTGCATGTTTTGTTAGTTTTATATTACAATATAAATCTAAGTTTCTAAATTTCTTTACTATTTTTGATATTCAATAATAACAAAATGTTTATTTAACATTTTAGAAAGATGATAGAGTTTGCGCTCAACTATTCTGTTTTGATGCTGGTTCAGGATATTGCGTGGCTTATCGCCCAGCGGCTGAAGGTTCTCCTTGTGGAGACGGTCAGGTAAAACAATATTTGAAATAATTAAAATTGAATTTAAAAATAAGTTAAATTCAATTTAAAAGTTATTAATTATAATTTTAATGATAAAGTTAAACAATTTCAGTATTGTCTGAACGGGAAGTGTGTGGCCGAGCATGAAAACATTATACCAGATTATACACAAAACATTCCAACGTATGTGCGCCGAGACGGCACTTTCAATCCTACAGCCCACAATCGACCTCTCTATGCTCAATACAACAATACAGAGTATAGGTAATATTTAAACTAAAATTTTACATCCTGTTGGTATACGTAAATATTACTTCAACTATTTATCTTCCATTATCCATTACAGTTTATATTTAATACATAATTATCATTGAATTAAGATCATCGGATTTATATGCATTCCGATATATCTTCACTCCATTAAAAATATTTATCGTAATCTATAAACATTATTTGTTCCGTAACAGGCACTTCAAATAATTGTCATGTATCCTCAAATTGTTGACTGAAATACTTATCGTTATAGTAATGCATATTTGCATTACAAAGATTATAAAGCTTGACTTTCGATAAACAACCTGTTCAATCTCCACCTGTTCGGTAAACATGTAATCAAATAATAAATATTATTTGAATGTTGTTCAAGAGTACATAATCCGAACAGGTCATCTCTTTCGTTGTCCCATGGATAATTCCATAATGCTATGTCACACAGGTATCCGTGGGAATTGACGACACACAGCACGCCACAATCGAAATTCAAATACTCCTCGCCGTCGTCGAATCTCTTCTCGTCGACAAGCAATTCTTACAAACGCGTCACGTCGTTCGCGACAACCCCGGTGACCAAATACACCTACACCACAGCAAGTTATTTATACGCTAATAAATACAAGACTAAAATAAATAATAGTAACGATGCTAGTTATAGTAAAAACGGATATGGTGGTGGTACCACTACCAGGAAGTACATGAATCACTCATACTATACAGTTAATCCAATATCAAAGGTCACGAATGACCTGAATTATCCAAAAATTAGCCCGTTCAAACATAAGGGCACAACGGTGTCATTTGCAACATCAAGCAAAAAGGATCAGAACGGTCTTCAGAGCGATGCTCGCGGTAAGATAAATATCAAAAGACGATACTCGCTTTCTTCTCGGATAATAAGAATCTTTTCTTTAATTCTTTTATTATTACTAAATGTTATCGTCTGGATAACAAGACTTATTCTTGTCTATTATTCTTTCTTTATTTTACTTTCTTTGCTTCATTTTTTCTTTTTCTTTTTTTTTTTTTCTTTTTTTTTTTTTTTT